TCTTCACATCAAATTAAAATGGAAAAGAATTAGTTTTGGGCAATTAAAATTACTCTTGAACTGAAGTGCTATGGATAACAGTGACATCAAATTTAACAAGAAAAATGGTGGGATAAGGTAAATATGGAATGGCTCTTGTAAAGAAAATCTAAAAATCTTGTAAAGAAAATCCAAGAAAACATGCTGCACCAGAACAGACATACTAATTTGCTGGCATGAAGTTTTATAACTGATTTGACCTGTTCTTAATTTTACTTAAGTTTTAGCATTTGGCTAAATTGGTGAGTGTTAGCGCTACCCCAGATTATTTCTCTGCCCATGAACTAGCTATGTACCAGCAAGTTTTTGCATAACAATTATGTTATCACAAAGCTGGTCTCTGGTAGAGAATGCAAACTGATCAAAATACTCACATCGAAATATTCACTTGAAAGATAACAGGCCCGTAACCAGCAATTTCAGAGGGGGGGGGTCGTTTTCTGAAAAAGGGGACCTTTTACCATAAAATCCTCAATTACATAGGTCAAATTTTACCCAAAGTGGACCTTTTCCCAAGAAAAAGGGTGGTTCTTTCGAATCCCCCCAAACCCCCCCTGGCTAAGGGCCTGGATAATATACCTGTTTTCACTCAGTTTTGGCTGAGCTAATGGGAAACCAGTATGGTGCTACTGCCTCTCACTTTAGGGATGTGTGAATGCTCTTTGATTGCACCCAAAGCACTGTTGAAAAGTTTACACAATGACATAGACACCAATATTTTGCTGACAATGTCTTGCCGTTTTAGTTTTCTGTTGTTTAAGGGGGAGACATCAGTGCACATATTCGAAACTAATATTAGGCAAACAAACACAAGGTGAAGGAATCCTGTACACCAACCTGAAATTTTTCTTTGAGTTCTAAACACTAGAAACTTGGCAATTTCAACCAATAGTCCACAAAAGAATAAAGAAAAATGCAGTGCATACTCAATTTTGTATTTGAACAGCTGGGTTCAAAGGGATGTTTCTCTACAAGTGACCAATAGCTAAAAACACTGCTGCATGGCCAGCCAAATATTTCTTTTAAAAATACATAGAAAAACTGAATAGGAATTGTTTCTTCATATTATCCCCTACATACAAAATGCTTTTGAGACATGCCATTCAATATGATGTTGTTTTAAATAATGCATTATTCTAATGGTGACTATGAACAATAATTTATTATGCACCACACAGTATTTTTTTAGACATCTGTGGGCATGATATAAAAGGATTGCAAAGAACATCTAAGTCATAAATGTGATTTGTTATCCAAAAGTCAGTGATACAAAAGAAGAGGCTCATATCTCTCACTGCTTTTCAAAGATTAAAAATCCATACTTTACTACTACTGTTTACAAATATTTCTAGGGGCATGTTATCACAAATTTTAACAGTTATTTACTGAAAATGCCTGCAACTGTTTTATTAACTTTTTTCCTGACTCATTTGTTCCTGCACAACATGATAAATAAAGACCATTATACACTTATAAAATGCCTGCATGTGTACCGTACATATGGTTAAATAAAGCATATATCTGGCAATATTTCACCAATTATAACAATGGCTTTCTCATGACAATTATTCCATCTGACTGCATGGTAAACATTAACATTTGATTTAATATGGAGTAATACTCTCCCTTTTATCATTTAGATATTTTATCTTACTGCGCCATTATATCTATGTATTTAGCCAACTTTTCATGGGTGCCAGCTTATTTATTACTAATAAAAGTATATAAATTTTATTTAATACTTTTGTGTTGAAGTGTCATATCCTGACAAAAATAAATAAATAAAATCTATCTAAAACGATGCTTCCAATGCCAGTTACCCTCCTGAGGTGGCAGTAACTGTCATAATAATTGACTGCAAACAGTGTCATGTTTCACGAATAAGAATGACAATAGAAAATGGGTCAATGGGTGTCAAGCCCACTCGCTTCCACCACTAGAACTACCGAGTAACGTACGTACCAGTAGCAATGTGTACATGTGTGAAAGTGGAGAAATGCAAACATATACTACATACCAGTAAAATGCAACAGTATCCCCTAAACCGTTGCTGATATGCCTGTCAAGCATATTGTAACACATATTTGTAACAGCGCCTTCCATCCACTTGATGAAAATCGGGCCTTTACGTACATCGAAATTGTAGTCGAGGAACTTTCCTTTTGGCAGTGACTTCCAATAGAATTCTTTCGCAATCTTGCCCCAGAATGCTTCTGGGTCTTCTACAGACTGCTTGTACATCTCTCTGTATTGCTCCATGCTGGAGACGTGTGCTCCATCTTGGATATGTTTCAATGGAGAAAACACCATGTCCTCGCTGCCGGCTCCATTCTCTGCCGCCATTTTGAACAACAATGATGTTGTGGATACGCTGCTAGAGACATCTGCCGGGAATTCCCCTGAAAACCACACCGAGGTTCTGTGACTCACGTCATAAGCTAAGTGGACTACATTCCATTCAGTTACAAAGTTCCAGAAGTTTAATCAAAGGTGATGCATGCGAGTTATTTCATTATATGTTATTTAAAGCAGTTTTACATAATATTTTGTCAAAGAAAGTTGCGACAAAACCAATAATATGAAATAATATTGCATGTAGGCCTACTATACTCCGAAGCTCACAGTAGGGCGCGAATACATTTGAGTGCGTGCGTGGGGTATGTAGAGGTAGAAAACTGGACGTCGGAGACCGACCCTCTGTATCTTTCTGTGTTTTTTCTTTTAATTAATTTTTTAAACACTGGCCTTCTTTATTGTAATGGAGAAAGAGCAGGGCCGTAGCCTCCGGGGGGGGGGGGGGGCAGGGGGGGCAGCTGCCCCCCCCCCCGGGATTTGGGGGGAAAAAAAAAAAAAAAAAAATAAATAAAAAAACA